GTTAACTCTCTATTGCACGATGTTGCCTCAGGGCAACAAACCTGTTTTCCTCACTTTGCAATAACATTTTAAAGACAATGGCAGCGTTAACAATAAAGGGAACAATAAAAAGCATGCTCCTGGTCATGCTATCTCTCAGTGGGCACATTTAAACTTCTGTTTTAACATTCAGTATTCATTTTTTTTTGTTATGAGAATTTGCAGAAATATGTTTGTTGTCTAGAAGCAACATTGTGCGACAGTGGAACGGATTAGACAGAATCAGAATTGTTCACAGTGGTGGTGATAGGAACCAGACGTCCACCTCTAAAAGCTCCCTCACAGAAAGTTATTAGATGAAATGGTTATGAATTCACTGCCTGATGACTGAGACACTGTTTTACGATAGTTTTGAGTTTGACTTTGAAATAAAAGTTATATTTTTTAATTAATTCATGGTGGAGGGATACATGCAGGGTGCTGTGAGGCAAAATAGCCCCCAAAGAAAACCTTTTTTCAGATTTATGACTATTTAACAACACAGATGAATGTGGGCTCACTATTTGGCAAGCAGCGGGTCACTGTTGCCCTGTTTATTAATGTGTTACAACACGGCTCTATATCATTTCTTCCCATTGCCACACAATGTTGCCTCAAGGCAACGTACCCCAAAATGATCCCTACACACATTATCTTAAAAAAAAGTTTTGATATTTAATAATCATGTCCGTTTTATGCAAGAAAAGTGAATCAAATATGTTTTTAGTTACTCTCATAACACGTGCAGAAGGGGGTTAATTAAATAGTTAATTACATACTGGATGGATAAATGACTGTTTCTTACAATTGGGCTAAGCAGTGTCTTCCTCCTCAACAGCAGGTGGCAGCATAGGTCCATTTACAGCCCTGTAGTCTCTCTGAGGAAGAAGTGTTCATAAAGCTGTGTGGGAAAGCACTGCAGCAGTCAGAGGAGCTGGAGCCTCTAGAATGGCAACGACACCAGCTCCATTCTTAAAAATAAGGGTTCCAAAAAGGGTTCTTTAGAGCGACGTCCCAGAAGAACCTTTGGTTTCCTAAAATTGATTCAATATATGGCTGTAATAGATGCTCCTATAATGTGTAGTACTACCTCTTACATCTACTGGGCCTCACAGAGTTAAACATATTCTCCCCCCATCTCCCACACACTACACTGTTAAAGGGGAATTCCACCTATTTTTCAAAATTTCTGCACAATTAATTGGTTAAGATGTAAAGAGGGTCGTTCAGAGTGGTTTGGTGTGAAACGCTCTGTTCTAGAGAAACTTACTGAGTCAGAACTGTTCACAGTGGTGGTGATAGGAACCAGACGTCCACCTCTAAAAGCTCCCTCACAGAAAGTTACTACATGAAATGGTTATGAATTCACTGCCTGATGACTGAGACACTGTTTTATGATAGTTTTGAGTTTGACTTTGAAATAAAAGTTATATCAAGACCATAATCCGTCCCTGGGTACCCAGAAAGTATTTTACAGATTTTAGGGTAACATCACCACATGTACTCCCAGAGAGCGTTCAACATGGAGGAGAAAGCCCATACAAATGTAAATTGACCCTCAGTCACTACAGAAACCAAAACTATGCTCTTGTCCAAGACTGTGGAAAGCTTTTGGCCCTGTTTACACCTGGTCACCTCCTGTGTCCTGTAACTGGATCGTATCCTGGTAAGATTTTAGCCTCATGCATTTTCACTTGGTAGTCAAATGTGTCTCCGGAATATGCAAATCCGCTCGTTATGCAGCAACCAAAGTTGTTTAAATATTTGTTCAAATGTTGCGCGGTTGCGAGTCTTGTGTGTTTTTTTTTTTGCGCAGCAGACTCTGTCCATATTGCTATTAAATGTTTTGTTTCATCTGGTCCCCAACCTTGCATGTCCTCCATGATTATCTTCCTTGCAGACACGGAACACAAGCCCAGTGATGTACTGCATGGGGAGGAGTTTTGTTTATGCTGGAAGGAGTTTTGGTTGTACTGGGAAGAGTTTCAGTTGTGCTGGGAAGAGTTTTAATTGTACTGGGGGGAGTTTTGGTTGTACTGGGAGGAGTTTTGGTTGTACTGGGAAGAGTTTTGGTTGTGCTGGGAAGTGTTTCAATTGTACTGGGAGGACTTTAGGTTGTACTGGGAGGAGTCTGTGTTGTACTGGGTGAATTTTGGTTGTACTGGCAGGGGTTTTGGTTTTACTTGGAGGAGTTTTGGTTGTACTTGGAGGAGTTTTGGTTGTACTGGGAGGAGATTCGATTGCACTGGGAGGGGTTTTGGTTGTACTGGGAGGAGATTCGGTTGTACTGGGAGGAAATTCAGTTGTACTGGGAGGGGTTTTGGTTATACCAGGAGGGGTTTTGGTTGTACCAGGAGGGGTTTTGGTTGTACTGGGAGGAGATTCGATTGTACTGGGAGGGGTTTTGGTTGTACTGGGAGGGGTTTTGGTTGTACTGGGAGGAAATTCAGTTGTACTGGGAGGGGTTTTGGTTGTACTGGGAGGAGATTCGGTTGTACTGGGAGGAAATTCAGTTGTACTGGGAGAATTTTGGTTGTACTGGCAGGGGTTTTGGTTATACCAGGAGGGGTTTTGGTTGTACTGGGAGGGGTTTTGGTTGTTGAATGTGTCTTGGAGAGACGGTTGTGTTTACGCTCCTATTACGTGTAGCTCAAGTGCGTCTCAGTCCACCTCCTGAAGTGAACAATCAGATTTGTATCTGTTTTAAATGCGTTTACACTGCATTTTTATGTGGTTTGGCCTCATCCAGATATAATCTTGGTACTCAAGACTTATGAAGTCACAACCTGTAAACAATATCTTTGACTTCTCTGGCTTTTGGTTAGAGGGGAGTGAGAGGGAGAGATGACTGCGCCTGAATACGGTCCAGATTATTCATTGAGAGTTATGCTGTGTCTTCAGTGGATTTGTTCTGCAGTCTTCACCTGGACATTGATGGTGTTCTTTGTTGCTCACAGGGCCTGGACGAACTGGTTGGATCGGCTGCTTCATGCCTTCCCTTCATTTCCGTACGTCCAGCAAACACTGCACTGAACTCAGAACTGACCACAAAATAGTGACTGACACGTCCCTCGATCTGAAACACAGTCATCTCTATAGGCCACCGCACACCCAACACTCCGCAGAGCAGATACAATACAGTGCACAGCTCTACAACATAGAGAGCATCTAAAAACATCAAGCTCAAACTAAACTAAATCTCTGTTTTCCATCTAAAGGGTATGAGGTGATAAACGACCAGGCTGGTAGTGCTAACTAAGCCAACAGACAATCAGCGTTTGTCTGTTTATGAGAATGGTGCTTAAGCAGTTTCCTGAGCCAGCAAGCTTAAAGTATAATTACCAACCACTGCGTTGGGCAAGATCTAAAATCTAGCCTCTGCTGTTAAACTGAAGATGTTTTTAAAAGGTAGGGAGTGGTACACAATGACTTTCTGCTCTAAAAATGAGTCTAGACTGAAACTCAACCATGATAAGGTGTACAGTGGATGTGCATAAACGAGTCAGGCCAGAAAGGCATCTTTAATGTTTGGTGTTAATATTGTATGTAATATTGTACTGTAATGTTGAATACTTGATGTAGAATTGAACCCCTCCCCATTCAAATGACATCATTTGTTGATTTTTTAAATGTAAATAAGTGAACACATTCTGTAGATTTTAATACACAATTATTGTTTAACTTAACTTTAGCTTTTATGGAGAATCTTACATATATATATATACATATATACATATATACATATATATATATATATATATATATATATATATATATATAAACGTAAGAAATACCTTGTATCTCCATTTTTGTCATTAAATTTTTGTCGTTTCATTAATGGTAAAGTAGGTTTTTTCCTTCTGTATATATGTGTATATATGTATATAAGGCTCTTCTATTATAACAAGCTTGACATAGTAGCGAGTTTTTGATGCTATATAGAACCCTTTTCAAAAAGGTGCTATATAGAACCATACACAACACTTTCTTCATCAGTCTGAAGAACCCTTTCATGATGCAGAGAACCCTTTAATCATGCATTTAATCATGAGTTTTCATAGTTCTATACAGAATCATTTTCTATATAGAGCCCTTTTTGGTGCTATATAGAACCATACACAACACATCCTCCTGAAGAACCATTTCACCATGCAAAGAAACCATTTAAGCATATATGACCTATGGTTCCATACAGAACCAACGCCTGCACCCAAGAACCCTTGGAGAACCACCTATTTTAAGCATGAAGATCCTCACTTGCCGGAAAACAGGTGGGAAACGAGAACTCCTCGGTGACTTCCGCTTTGCCCCCACCATCAGGGGGGCGTGGCTGATCTTTGTCCTACGTCAGAGCGTCGCTCCGCCCACCAGGGCTTTCGGACTGTTTCCCCTTTATTGCATCCATTTTTTTTTCCTGCATTGAAGAAATCTCCAAGAATTTTATCAGCCAGGAGAGGAGCAGTGGGGGGGCGGGGGGCTAGGTGGGCTCAAGAAAAAAATAATAAATAAAAAAATAATAAATAGTCATAATAAAAAAGCACCAAACGACGCGGAGAGAAGAGCCTTAAACAGAGGGAGCAGCTATGGGTTAGACTGGACTGACCATGATTGCGAGCTAAAAGGCAAGAAGGCTTGATTTCTTTGCCCGGGGATGATGTTTGTGGGGAAGGTGTGCACGAGGCGGGGAGGAAGGAGCTGCTCGTGCAGGACGGCGGAGCAAGTCAATGGGAATTAGCTGGTGGATGTTTATAGCGCGTTCTGAAGGCGGCGCAGGTGGCCAAACGTAGCTGGAGCAACGTTTAGCGCTAATAATATGGGATATGATGATATTGTCCATTCAGGATAGTCGCCTATAATGTCATGGTGCCTATATAGGGAGCCCTATTGCTGCATTGGCTCCTCTAGCTTTATGATAAGCCTGCTTTCTGTACTATGTATGCATATGTACATGTATATCTATCATTCTTTGCAGCAGCCTGAAGATGTCAGCTCCTCTCGGGCCCCGGGGCAGCCCGGCAGCCCCGCCGGACACGCCGGACCTGAGCCACCTCACCGAGGAGGAGCGAAAGATCATCCTCTCGGTCATGGATCGACAGAAGAAGGAAGAGGAGAAGGAGCAGTCCATGCTGAAGTAAGACACCTCCTCCTCCTCGTTTACCCCACTGCGGCTTCCCATTCGCCAGCTTGTTGTTCGAATTTCCCCGTTCCACCTTAAATGGTGCAGCAGTTACATTCTGGCGCCTGAGGCGCCAGAATGTAACTGCTGCACCATTTAAGGTGGAACGGGGAAATTCGAACAGGGAGCTGTCCTCAGCCTCGTCTAAACCCCCCCAAGTGCTGGTGCCTGGGGTGTCTTGTTGGGGGGCTCTGCTTTTCTACATTTAGGGTCTTTTGCTTGGGCTTTCGCTGCCACTGGCGCCGGTGTAGCAGCTTTTGCGTCCTCCTGGGTTGGGTTAGCTCTGGGCGCCATCTTCGGCGAAGAGAAAAGGAGGGAGGGGGGGAGAAAAATCCCACACTAGGCTGCTTTTTTTCTCTTTTTTGTGCCATTCACGTTTTCACGGCTCCTGCTGAATGAAGCGTTAGCTTGTCTCGTGCTGGACAGACTCTCCTCTCCCGTCTTAGCCTTTCAGCACCACGTCGCTGTCCACTCCTCTCGCCCCTTCCACCAAGCACGAACGAGCCCCCCTCCCTCGCTCCGCCGGCTTCTGGCTCCAACTCATCCGGTCCACCTTAAAAATGGCGCAGCAGTTCCATTCCGGCGCCCACAGCCTGCAGCGAACTGCTGCACCATTTAAGGTGGAACGGGGAATTTGTGGAAGAAGCTGGCGGGTACTGAGCTGTGATGGGTGATGGCAGCGCTCAGGGAGAGAATAAGGGCTGCTGCCTTTGCACTCAGCCTTAACTCGAGTCATAAAGACGTGTCACCTCTGTTTATCACCCCCTTAGTGTTTTATTGAGACTCGAAGCTTTGCGTGCATTTTTTCCACGAGTGTGTTTTTATTGACACGTGGTGCTTTGCAGCTCTGCGGAAGTCTCGTTTGGGGTGATGATTTCAGTTTAAGCTGGGGTTCAGGTCAGGCTTTTTCTCTGAACCTGTTAAACTCCAAGGGTCTGTATGAGGGTCCGCACTTCAGTTCCTCACTCTTATCACTGCAGAACGGTGGTTTCACAGCAGGTGATGAATCATTCATAGTAGATTCTAAACAGTTCATAGTAGATACTGAATCATTCATAGTAGATACTGAATCATTCATAGTAGATTCTAAACAGTTCATAGTAGATACTGAATCATTCATAGTAGATACTGAATCATTCATAGTAGATTCTAAACAGTTCATAGCAGATACTGAATCATTCATAGTAGATACTGAATAATTCATAGTAGATTCTAAACAATTCATAGCAGATACTGAATCATTCATAGTAGATACTGCATCATTCATAGTAGATTCTAAACAGTTCATAGTAGATACTGAATCATTCATAGTAGATTCTAAACAGTTCATAGTAGATACTGAATCATTCATAGTAGATACTGAATCATTCATAGTAGATTCTAAACAGTACATAGTAGATACTGAATCATTCATAGTAGATTCTAAACAGTTCATAGCAGATACTGAATCATTCATAGTAGATACTGAATAATTCATAGTAGATTCTAAACAATTCATAGCAGATACTGAATCATTCATAGTAGATACTGCATCATTCATAGTAGATTCTAAACAGTTCATAGTAGATACTGAATCATTCATAGTAGATTCTAAACAGTTCATAGTAGATACTGAATCATTCATAGTAGATACTGAATCATTCATAGTAGATTCTAAACAGTACATAGTAGATACTGAATCATTCATAGTAGATTCTAAACAGTTCATAGTAGATACTGAATCATTCATAGTAGATACTGAATCATTCATAGTAGATTCTAAACAGTTCATAGTAGATACTGAATCATTCATAGTAGATTCTAAACAGTTCATAGCAGATACTGAATCATTCATAGTAGATACTGAATCATTCATAGTAGATTCTAAACAGTTCATAGCAGATACTGAATCATTCATAGTAGATTCTAAACAGTTCATAGTAGATACTGAATAATTCATAGTGGATATCAAATAATTTGTAAGAGATGTCAAACAATTCATATTAAATACTGAATAATTCATAGTAGATATTAAATAATTCATAGTGGATACTGTATAATTCATATTAAATACAGAATAATTTATGGTATATACTGAATAATTCATAGTGGATACTGTATAATTCATATTAAATACAGAATAATTTATGGTATATACTGAATAATTCATAGTTGACACTGAATAATTCTTAGTGGATATCAAATAATTCATAGTAGATACTGCATAATTCATATTAAATACTGAATAAGTTATAGTAGACACTGAATGATTCACAATGGATGCTAAATAATTTATAATAGATATCGAATAATTCATAGTAGATGCTAAATAATTCGTAGTGGACACTGAATAATTCATAGTAGATATTGTATAATTCATATTAAATACTGAATAATTTACAGTATATACTGAATTAATCATAGTAGACACTGAATGATTTATAATGGATACTAAATCATTTATAATAGATATCAAATAATTTTTAGTAGATGCTAAATAATTCATAGTGGACACTGAGTAATTCATAATTAATATCAAATAACTTATAGTGGATACTGAATAACTCATAGTGGATACAGGATAATTCATAGTAGATATCAAATAATGCGTAGTGGATACTGAATAATTCATAGCAGTTCTGAATTGTAAGTCTTAAGATGTATAACTGAACAATTAGTCTGTTTGTTAAAGCAACAGGTCCACAAAAATCCAGCTGACCCAAAAAATCCCTGGCTTTACCCCAAAATGTGGTTTGAGCGCCGAGACGTGTTTGGTTTCATAAATTTGCTTCCTTATTTTTAGCACCGGAGCCACGAGGCTATTGTTGCTAACAAATAATGGAAGCTAATACCTCACCAAGTAGCATAGTGCTAACTGCATACTCGATTATGTGTTTTCCGCTGTGGTGTGAGGCGAGTGTGTGAGGATTTAGATGTGCAGTTAGCACCTTGCTGATTGGTGTGTGTAAGCTTCCAGTATGTGCACAAAACTCATATCTGAGGAAGAACTCAAGCGGTACACCAACCACTACTACTCTGAAGATAAAAATGTCCATTTCGGTTGACTTTACACGTGATCGTTCACACAGTGCAGCTTATTATTTTGCGTCAGGACAATGTAGCGTTAGCTGCAAAGTAAAGATAGCTAGGAAGCAAGATCAGTCAATGTACCTTCTTTAGGCGGGTGCTTTAATAGTTTCATAAAATGAACAAAAAAGACAATAAAACCATTTTATGACAATTAATCATCAGCTAAAATGTGATGATCGTGACAGGCCTAGTTCAGTTCTGAAGCTACACAGAAAAATGGTCTCACTTTATTTGGAGAGTCCATTATAGTCCCCTATAGATTATCTACAGATGTTCAAACTGTTAACAAACTATCTGTTGAAACTCAGTTGAATCTAAACAGTGATGGGATTAGGGTTAGGATTTGGACCAGGGTTAGAGCTTGGACCGGGCTGAGGGTTGGATTTAGGTGTTGGGTTGAGGTTAGGGTGAGGGTTAGGTTTAGAGCAGGTCTAGAGTTAAAAAAAATGATGGTCAATTCAGTAAATATTGATTTACTTTCATTGTAACTTGAAAGTGGACGCAGTGGGTTGCAGCTCCTCCTACAGCAAGGAGGGCCTGGGTTCGGTTCCCCAGCCGGGCGACCAGGGTCCTTTCTGTGTGAAGTTTGCATGTTAGAAGGTGTGTGTGTGTGTAACTTGAAAGTAAATTAAATACCTACAAAGCATCTACAGTGGACTATCCAAATAAAGTGTTACCAGAAACTGTATGCATTCTGTGCCCACTACGCACTTCTGGACCTTCTGGGTCTTCTGTACAGAGCCAGCGAACCTGTCCTGCTGTGTCTGAAGCCCACCTGACCCTCAGAGTACTAGTATGTGTTGTATAAGGGCCAGATTGTCGACTGCCTGATGCAGTGTGGTGTGGACGTGTGACATTTCTATGCAAACTGACGTTACGTTTTGTGTGGCATCGCTAACCTTTCATTGTGGCAGGTCCAAAACGCTTCCCCATTTATCACACTCAGGCTTTTTTGCCACCTTTTGTGTGAAAAATGTCCTCTCTGCACGAGCTGCGCTTGACTCATCCTGTCGCTCGTGGTGTGACTGAGTGTTCTCACACATTACTGGAGTTTCTCGGTCCCGTTATAGTAATCGTGATTCAGAAGAGGGCAGGAAATGACAATATGGCTTGATATAATGCATTCATGCACACTCCTCTGCTGCTTTATCAGAAAAGCCCCCTTTGTTGCAAGTGGCCAGTGAGTGGAAGTACAAAGTGGGTGTTTCTAATAAAGTGGCCAATAAGTGGAAGTACAAGGCTGGTGTTTCCAATAAAGTGGCCAGCGAGTGGAAGCACAAAGTGGGTGTTTCTAATAAAGTGGCCAATGAGTGGAAGTACAAGGCGGGTGTTTCCAATAAAGTGGCCAACGAGTGGAAGCACAAAGTGGGTGTTTCTAATAAAGTGGCCAATGAGCGGAAGTACAAGGCTGGTGTTTCTAATAAAGTGGCCAACGAGTGGAAGCACAAGATGGGTGTTTCTAATAAAGTGGCCAATGAGTGGAAGCACAAAGTGGGTGTTTCTGATAAAGTGCCCAGTGAGTGGAAGTACAAGGCGGGTGTTTCTAATAAAGTGGCCAGTGAGTGGAAGTACAAGGTGGGTGTTTCTAATAAAGTGGCCAATGAGTGGAAGTACAAGGCGGGTGTTTCCAACAAAGTGGCCAGCGAGTAGAAGCACAAAGTGGGTGTTTCTAATAAAGTGGCCAGCAAGTGGTAGTACAAGGGAGGTGTTTCAAATAAAGTGGCCAGTGAGTGGAATGTATTGCTTATGTTGGCCCAGATTTTGGCATGAAGAGTTGCTTGAATATGAACAGTATAATAGTTGCTTAACTAATGGTCCATTCTTGTGTGTTGGGCTTGAAGTATTTTTTGCTGCATGGATGGATCACAAAAAAAAACATTTTTCTT